TCTTAAACAACAAACCTATTTTTAGTGGTGGAGCCGCTCTTAGTAGCTGTGTCTGCATGGGACTGATAACCAATCACTATCTTTGGAGGAAGTCCTAACCTTTCCTTATATACCCTCCTAGAAGAAAAAGCAGAAGAAAAGTAACCATTAATTTTTATTCACCAAAACTAGTTAACTAAAAAATATATTATTAGTTTCTATATTTAAAAAAAAAAAACCCTGGACTTGAGAGTGAAATGGGAAATTGCACACCCTTGCCTTTCAGCATAATTTACTCTTCATTTTAAACATAATCTTAATCACTTAATACCTGAGAGCTAATTAGGTATGTGGTACTTATTACTAAATTATAGAAATAATTAGTACATTATTGTAGTATGATAATTATTAGTAAATCAATGGTGAATAAGGCAGAGACAAGCTCCAGGCTCGTGGTATTTACAGTCTAGTAGGAAAAACAAATAACCACAAACACATATGACAGACCTTACTGCATGTATACTTAAATGAAAATCAGTAACAAGCATGTCTATTTTCATGCTTTGATCTAAAATATATTTTAGGTATGAACCCTAGTAAATATTATATATTACCACATAAATTACATTTACCATACCTATTACTAACAAGGTTGAACCCACAAAAACACTTTTATTAGGGAGATATGTGATATTTTCAGAATAAATTAGAACATACATAATTATAATTTGTGCCTTACATACTAACTCCACAACCTAGTTTTCAAGTAAGATGTAACTCCACTGTAAAAACAAAATGTGATGAGTACCACAGAGGACAAATATATAAGGACAGTGTTGTTGCATAACAAGGAAGTTCTAACCTCATGAGCAAAGTTACAGAAATCTCTACTTTAAAAGTCACGCGGTCAAAAGGATCACATTAAGAGAAAAAAGCACATCCCAAGGCTGAGAAACAAAAATCAGGCTGGGTGCCAATGGCTCAGAAGAAAAGCGAGTATGAGATAAGGCTGATAAGCTCTGGAGAAAAACCCCACAAAAGCAGCACAGGTCACCTTGGGAATTAGATCTTTATTAACAGCAAAAATTCTAAAATAAGAAGAAAAATTTTAACCAAAAATAAAAGAGTACATATTTCTATTAAGTTAAATCCTCCAACATAACTAGTTTTTCATATTCTATCCTCCAGAAGATTTTACTACCTTAATATTATTTATTTTTAATAAATTATTTAAGAACAATTTTATGATAAAGTTGAAATTATTAACAGATTTACATTCAGATACAATGTGTTCCTTTCAATTATACTTCACCATTAAAATGCCAGAAAGTGAGGACAGAGTCAGGCAACATAGGTTACAAAAGAAGGAAAAATCTTGCCCTGAAGAACTGAAACCAAATGTTTTATACAGAGATTTTAATATTGATAAAAACACAAAAGTCTACAGAAAAATTAATAATTTAATTCTTTAAAAAAAAATTCCAACAATTAAGTTTTGATGCTGGCAGAAAAATTAAAAATGATAACAAATCCAACAATCAACTCCTTTAGCTCTTATAGAAACCTCATATAGAATGAAACTTGGAAAATCCCTGTTAGCTTTTGATAGAGAAAAAAAATAAACTCATAGAATTCATAACATTTGAAAAATCAAAGAAGGGCAAACCAAACAATTTGTGACCTATTAGTGACTGGCATCTAATTTTAACATGAAATTTCAAGTCAAGTATTACTAATTTAAATGTAGTAAAAAGAAAATTCTAGTTTAGAGAAAAAAATGGCCATATTTACAAAGAATAAAATTCACTAAAAAAGGTTAAAAAAAACCAAACCCTGCACATGTGGGTTCTAAATACAGATATGTCAAGATATGTTACTTAAATTTTAATGAAAATTCCATGTAGTATACACATGTACTAAAAGTACATCTATACCATTTGCCAATCCTCACTGAATTATTATGAGCATTATATATTAGCACATTTCGAAGGAGTGCTCTCAAACAGGACTTTTTAAAGGATGAAAAAATATACTCTCATTTGATAAATGAATAAAGTGCTACACAAAGTAGAATGCTCTAATGATCATATATTCCATTACTAAGGAAAAACAATTTTACAGAAATGAGAAATATATAAACAAGATGCTGAGCACCAATATTGCAGTTCAAAATTATAAAAGTATGCATGAAAACAATACAAGGAAAATAGTGATCTACCATTCAAAGTACATCTAAAGCTACAATAAAAGAAGTTCTGGTTTTCACTATCTTAATATTATAAAAGTAGGCAAATAGCAAAACGTACCCTATATGTGTAACAGCTTCTCTGTTTTCACATTCAGTAGTCCATATTGCTATCTTATCACCTTTAGCTCTAACATTAACAACAGCTCCACATACATCATCACTGTAGTCATCGAAAGATTCTCCAATAAGGCACAGCAGCTTAAAAAAAAAACATTTACATTCGATAAATTAAAAATAGTTTAACAGACAGCAAATGTCTCTACCATATTTGTAGAGATCCTTTTTAAATCAACAGTTGACTTTTTTAATGTCTAACTTTGTATATACAGTTGTTATATTAAAAAAATTCATGTTTTATGAATTTACTACCAAGAACATTAACATCTTTAAATTTTTATGCAAATTGGACAACTGATATGAGGACACACATAGAAGTTGAATTATTTTATTAATACTCACTTGTCCACGGCTACTTATACAAATACTGAAATAGCCATTCATAGTTACATTGTTTCTTGTTCTTGTTTTTTTTATTAAATGATAGCTGTGTACATTAATGCAATCATGGGGTACAGTGTGGTTGGTGTTTTCCTTGTTCTTGTTTTTAATGAATACTTGGCTAATTTCTTTTTTTTTTAAATTTGTTTTTTATTAGATCATAATTGTTTACATTAATTCTCTCATAGGATACAGTGTGTTGCCTCTATATGCAGTCTGGAAAACTCTCATCCAAGTGGCTAACATAGCCATCATGTCTTTCTCATAATTGTTGGCTAATTTCTTTAATTGTGGTAAAATATACATAACATAAAATTTATCAGTTTAAACATTTTTAAATACACAGTTCAGTCGCAATAAATATACTCAATATTGTTGTGCAATCATCCTACTATCCATCTCCAGCACTTTTTTGAATTGCAAAATTGAAATGTTCTGATTTTTAAATGTGGAATCTTGAGGTATTATTTACTAATAATCTCCACCCCCCCCAAATTATCTCTTTAGAACACTTATTCAAATACAATAGAACCTCCAAAGTTGACCACCTTCCTACATTGACAACCTCCTTAAGTCGACCTAAGTTTCACAGACCAGACATGCACCATATATAGGTATCAGTACTGCAGGCCTAGTAGTTCCTTATTGAACACCTCTGAATGTTGGCCAGTTAGTTCTAGTCCTTTAGGTGCTCAACTTATAGAGGTTTTACTTAACTTAATAAGTTCTAATTATAAACCAGACACTACCAAGTGCTAGGACACAAGGCTATGAACGAAAGGCGTGGGGTTTAGAACTTAGGGGCCAAAGGACTATGGAAAATATCTATGGTATTAAAGCCAAAGTTCCAGGTTATATCACAACATGTAAGTTGAATAGTATTAAGCAACAATTTCATTGTTTCTTTCATTAATCTATGGGTTTTAAAACTTTATACAAAATATAAGATTCTGTAATTTTAACTTTAATGACCAGAGTGAGAATCAACTGCCAATCACTTTATGTCTGACTCATAATATGGTAGGATCTTTTATTATACTAGTATGTACATACAAGATTCACATGATGGAACAAAAATAATTGCTGACTTAAGATATTCTAGTATGGGCATCCTTATCTCCTCTTAAATTAAATAACCTAGGTAAAATGTAATGTAATTTAAGTTCTAGTATTCCAAAACTGCCTCCAAAACTGCTTTATAATCTTAAAACCTTACTGTCTCTAGCCAAAAGCGATCGAGGTCACTTCGTCTCTGCTGTTTGTTCAATGTAATTAGCCATCGTCCTCCCCGTTTGTTTTTCTCATCTTCCCACATAGGCTCAATACCATCCTACAGGGTTAGAAGACAATAGCATTAGCCACAAGTAACTCTAACTTGAGAAGAAAGCATTAGAAACAGCAAGAAGTAACACTGTCAACTTTTTATTGTACTACCCATAAAACTGTCACTGATGTAGTTTTTAAAAAGCGTGTAAGATTTAAAGCAGAGGCATGAGATCGAAGAATTAAGTCATGACTTTGTCACTTATTAGCATCAACCCTTAGTTTTCACTTAATTTGAAGGTTCATAAACTTTGTGAGTAGCAGACATACTTTAGAAGCTATGTACACTTTTACACCTAAAAAAATACATGCAAAAATCAACTAATTTCAGAGGTAATGAATGCCCCATGACCCTATACCTAACAAAACCCATTCATAAATATCTCAAGGATTCATGCACCAGAGGTTACAAATGCCTGACAGTCTATTCAAGTATTTAATATATAAAGAAAGAATTGAATTGAATAATCAAAGCTCTCTTCAAAATCAATCTCTGTATATGCCTATAGAGTCAAGACCCTCAATTTCTATTATTTACTATAGTACTTTAGTATGCTAAAACTACAAAAGCCAATTTAATCATTAGCCTGTATATCATAGTATAAATTATTACTATGTTTGTGGCAGATTTCTTAATGAAATACCTGAATAGTCCAGTCCTATAATAAATATAAGAAATTATCAATTAAGCATACCTTAAAAAGTGAGTAGTCACAGCCAGGCATTAAATTACTAGACAATTGGATATGGTTGTACAGACTAGGTAAAAGAAAAAGATAATTAAAAACAGAGAATGTGTAAAGTAGAATTTAGGAGCTTATATGTATATTTAGAAAATATGATGAAATACAGATAAAATTTCATTTTTACTTGTTTTTATATGGAGTCAATTTCTAAAATAGACAAAAGAGATCCTAATAGTTCAAGAATCAACTTCTGATGATGCATACAATTTTCAAGAAAATATTTTAATGACTTTACTGATAAAAATATTTTTACATACTAGTTAACTTAGTACATATGTATATATTATATTCAAGAAACTCAGAAGAAACATAAGAAGTTGCTTTAAGCAAATGGAAGAGAAAAGACCGTTAAGATTGCATAGCCAAAACAGTCAACAAGACCAACAATTCCCAACCACCACAAACGGTTAGCACAATAATCATTTGGGGAGCTTTTAAGAAAATACACTGTTCCAAGCCCTGCCCTTTGGAATTATAATCACTCAAATATGGGGTACAACCCTTTTAAACTATTTTTCAAATATCAAAAGTAACAGAATTACATTTGAGATGACTAAGATATTCACTTGCCTGAAAGGAGGAAGCTAGATCACTTGATCTCCTATAGTCTCTTATAGCAAAATTGTTATAAAATTGCAAACAGAATTAAATTTTTTCCTCTCTCCAATATTAGACAGTAGAAATCATTATCTTAGCTATATCTACAGACCATGGGTGATTCAAAATACCTAGTCAATATCCCAAGGTTTTCTTGGTGGTATTTTGATCTGGTCTAGGAAAATTTCAGTATAGTCTTAAGAGTTGGCATCCTCTGGTTCATATCCATAGTTTAACAAACAAATCCAGTTTGGGTGAGACAGCATAAGACCACATAAGGTTTGCTGAATCACTACCTAATAGTAACTCTTTCCAAACTACATTATCAATAGTGGCCTCCACTAGGCAACAGAAGAGGCCTGGATACTAACAGTGACCACGGAATTATTAACATCATCACTGATTTCATAAAATGAATGGATGTGTGGGAATGACCTTTTTTGGTAGCATTCAAGGTACAAAAGACATAAATGCTTCTTTTGCTTCTACCTTTCTCTTTCATAATGCTAGAGTCTCATAAGTTTATAATAAGAATTTGTAATTGCATATTTAAAAGTGTGAAGCAATGTTCTAATTAGAGAAAAGTTAGAAATACAATTATATAAACTGGTGAAAGCCAAACAATCTAGATAAATGCAAATCTGACGTGAGGGGGTGGTTCAGTGATCTTCCTTTTCCTCCGTAGGAGACTGAAGAGCTTTTTCAGTGAAGGAGCCTGGAGTTAATTCAAGAATCTTAAATAAGCACAATTAAAGGAAAAAAACCACTTGATGTTTTGATGAAGGGCAAAGAAGAATAACTCTAGTTTAATTAGACAACTAGACCTATGAAGTAGGTGGGCTTAAATATACAGTAGAACCTCCTTAACTGACAACCTCCCTACACTGACCACCTCAAGTTAACCTAATTTTCATAGACCAGACATGCACCACATGTATGTATCCAGTACAGTGGGCCTAGTTCCTTATGCTGACCACCTCCGTATATTGTCTAGTTTTATATAATCCCGTGGGTGGTCAACTTATGGAGGTTTTACTGTAGTTCTATTCTTTTTCTTTTAATAGGTCAGTGCTTTTAATGAAAAATGACTCTAAGTAGTTTACAATTTATAGTTCTCTTTAGGTATTTGCCTTTTTCAGTGACAGAAATGCATACCAAATGTCTATTACAGATCAAGCACTGGAAATACACAGACAAATGTTGTTTCTACCCTTGAGAAGTATGCATGTATGGATATTACAACCACAACCCATTCTCTTGTGTGAGCAGAACACACTCAGGATTGCATTAAAACACCACTAATTTGGCATGTATATTACCCTAAAATAAAAATGTCCAACTTAGAATATTTGCCTTTCAGCTCGGCGCCTATAGCTCAACCGGCTAAGGCGTCAGCCACATACACC